TTTTTTTTTTTTTTTTTGAGACGGAGTTTTCGCTCTTGTTACCCAGGCTGGAGTGCAATGGCGCGATCTCGGCTCACCGCAACCTCCGTCTCCTGGGTTCAGACAATTCTCCTGCCTCAGCCTCCTGGGTAGCTGGGATTACAGGCACGCGCCACCATGCCCAGCCAATTTTTTTTGTATTTTTAGTAGAGACGGGGTTTCACCATATTGACCAGGATGGTCTCGATCTCTTGACCTCGTGATCCACCCGCCTCGGCCTCCCAAAGTGCTGGGATTACAGGCTTGAGCCACCGCGCCCGGCCAAAACCCCGTCTTAAAAAAAAGAAAAAAAAAAAGGTAATTCTATCCTATTTATCAAAAGCATCAATGTGCAACAGATTGGAAACTGTCCTTCACCAATGACAGTTTGAAAAGCACTAGCACAGGTGACACCTAGCTTAAGAATACAGTGCTGAAGGTCCCTGTCTTCCATATGCAGGAAACATACTGCTTCTTACAACTCCAAGCATCACTCACATTGAACAAAGTGCCAGAGGATGTGATGGGAGCGGAGTGACGGGAGGGCCCTGTTTATGAGAGCCAGTTAAGAGAACCAGGCCTGAAGCAACAGGAGCTGACAGGACAGGGCTCCGAAGCCCACAACTGCACACCCTCTGAGGGCCAGGGTAGCACTTAAAGGTGTCACCAACCATGCATTAAATAGTAACAGGCTGCTGGATGTGGTGGCTCACGCCTGCAATCCCAGCAGTTTGGGAGGTCAAGGCTGGTGGATCACTGGAGGTCAGGGGTTCGAAACCAGCCTGGCCAACATGGCGAACCCCTATCTCTACTAACAATACAAAATTAGCCAGGCATGGTGGCACATGCCTGTAATCCCAGCTACTCGGGAGGCTGAGGCAGAACTGCTTGAACTGAAGGCTGCAGTGAGCTGAAATCACGCCACTGCACTCCAGCCTGGGCAACAAAAGCAAAACTCTGTCTCATAAATAGTAACTGGCACATTATTATCAAAGGGCATCTACCACCTGCCTATGCCCATTAAATTAATTGGCTAGTAACATTTCTCAAGTGCTGGTTCACCGAGGGTGGCAAATCCCACTGAAGATCCACCTTTCTATTATCTGCGAACTTCTTTTTTTTTTTTTTTTTTTTTTTTTTTTTTTGAGATGGAGTCTCACTCCGTCGCCCAGGCTGGAGTGCAGTGGCATGATCTCGGCTCACTGCAACCTCCACCTTCCAGGTCCAAGCGATTCTCTTGCCTCGGCCTCCCAAGTAGCTGGGACTGCAGGCCACCATGCCCGGGGAAGTTTTGGTATTTTTAGTAGAAACAGAGTTTCACTATATTGCCCAGGCTGGTCTCCAACTCCTGACTTCGTGATCTGCCTGCCTCAGCCTCCCAAAGTACTGAGATTACAAGTGTGAACCACCACACCCTTCCTATCTACAAAGTTCTGCTCTGCAACTCCCTCCGCCTCCAGCTGCCCATTTCTACCCAATTCGAAAATGTTCTTCTTGTAACTTCTGGCTGTGTGCCAGCTTTTCTCAGGTGTGCTCAGACACACCTACAAGATGACCATTGTCATCCCAATTTCACAAATAAAAACAGAGAGGTCCAGGAGCCTAAGTCATTCATTCCTATTTACCCTGAAGGGGCAGAGCTAAGATCCCGGTCTGTGGTTTTAAGCCCTCCAACACTCGGTGCTAGCCCTTTATGAACACCATCTTCTTAACAATACAAGTAGTGAACAGAGTAACAAAGGCCGACATAGGCTGACTGCTTGATGCCAAGCCCCCTGACATATGCTTTGCCATTTAATTCTCCACCAACAGTATGAGGGGTGCTACCATTATCTCCTTGCTAAAGATAAAGAAACCAATGCATTAAGATACACATTTGCCCAAACTCACAGAGCTGATAAATGGTACAAGCCAAGTGTGAATCCTCAACTACTACTCAACTGAACTTCCACAAAAATTCTACGAAAGGTATACTATCAACCCCACTTTTTATTTTTTTGAGATGGGAGTCTCACTCTGTTGCGCAGGCTGGAGTGCAGTGGGACAATCTCGACTCACTGCAATGTCTGCCTCCCAGGTTCAAGTGATTCTTCTGCCTCAGCCTCCCAAGTTGTTGGGACTACAGGCAAGCACCATCACGCCTGGTCAAGTTTTATATTTTTAGTTGAGATGGGGTTTCACCATACTGACCAGGCTAGTCTCGAACTTCTGACCTCAGGTGATCCACCTGCCTCAGCCTTTCAAAGTGCTGGGATTACAGGTGTGATCCACTGAGCCCAGCCTCACTTTGTTTTTGTTTTGAGACAGTATTGTTCTATTGCTCAGGTTGGAGTGCAATGGCTCTATCTGGGCTCACTGCAACCTCTGCCCTCCAGGTTCAAGTGATTCTCCTGCCTCAGCCTCCCGAGTAGCTGGGATTACAGGTGCCCACTACCATGCCCAGCTAATTTTTTGTATTTTTAGTAGAGACAGGATTTCACCATGTTGGCCAGGTTGGTCTTGATCTCCTGACCTCAGGTAATCCACCTGCCTCAGCCTCCCAAAGTACTGGAATTACAGGGATAAGCTACCGCACCCGGCCACAACTCCACTTTTAAAAAAAAAAAAATTTTTTTTTTTTTTTGAGAGATGAAGTCCTGTTCTGTCACCGAGGCCAGAGTATAGTGGCTCAATCACAAAGCAATCCAGCCTCCAACTCCTGGGCTCAAGCAATCCTCCCACCTTAGCCTCCTGAGTAGCCAGAACTACAGGTGCACTCAACCACACCTGGCTGCAACTCCATTTAAAACAGGGAAATTGAGGATCACAAAGATGAAGCCAGTCGCTTAAATCACACAGGTAGCAAATCCAGTCAGAGGCTGGACTCCCAAATCCAATCCCTTGCTCCCCAGAACCCAAACCATTCCCGGCCTGCTCAGTGAACTCACCTCAAACTCTCGAATGTACGGCGCAATGCCACAGTAAGGTTGATTGTGGTGTTTTTCATGTGGCAGTTTCTCCAGGGGTGGCAGGTATGGGATAGGGTCACGGGGGGCAAAAAGGGCCAGAAGGTTGGGCGGCAGGAACTGGGTCATCTTGCCAAGTCTGAGAGCAGAAGCAGGACAGCCTTAGGTTAGATCGGGTCTGCACAGAGAAAGCCCCTATTTGTCCACTGCACAGAGAGCCCCTATTTGACTCTCAAAAAAAAAAAAAAAAAAAAAAAAAAGAGAGAGAGAGAGAGAAAACAGGAGAAAAGTCACAGAATTCGAAGAGGCTCTGTAAGGGCAGAGAACCGTCCTACGCTAGAAGAGAAAAGGGCATCTCTTGGTGAGGGTGGAGGTGAACGGCCAGTAAAGGAACCAAAAAACAAAGGCTGGAAAAGGGTTCCTGAGCAGTGAGGTCTCAGAGTCCTGAGCCACGAGCTGTGGGGCGGAGAGGTTCCCCGGGGATTTCTGGGGGGGATCAAGGACCCGAGGAAGGAGGCCCAGAGCATTTGTGGCTGCCCGTCTCGTACCTTGGAGGACAAATTATGAGATGCGCTTTGCAGGGGCCTGGGGGTCGGAAGTCTCCGAGCAAAGAAGAGAAACATAAGCAGCGAAGCCCCAAAGCCAAGCTCCTGGGGGTAACAGACCTGGGCCCCCCTAAGACGAAAGGAATTATGGGTAAGGGTCCAGGACAACATGGAAAGACGAAAAAGAAAAAAGGCCACACACCGCAAGGGCCTGTGGGTAGGGGACCGAGGGCGCTGTGGGAGGCGGGCGTGGGTGCCCAGAGGACTCGGGTTTCGGGAAAGGGATGCAGAAGGGACCTGCAGCAGGGGACACGGCAAGGGGGCCTGGCTGCAAGGGAAAAGGACTGGGGCCCATCGCAGGGGCTTGTGGGTAGCGGCCCCGCACCCCGTCGGACCACTCGGTCACACTCACTCGCCGCGCGGCGCCCTCCTCGGTCTGGCGTCGGTCCAGAGGCTCGGGGCGGCTGCGGCGGCCCCTCAGCAACAAGAACTCCTGCTTTGGCTTCCACTCCGAGGGCGTCCGCGTCTGCCTGACTGCCTCGCCCGCACAGCGAGCGCACAAGGCCGCTGCTCAAGAACCCGCGCGGCCTCGGCCACCGACTGGAGCAGGGGGTGGATCTCGGCCTCAAATCCCTCCGCCGTCAGCACTGCGCACGCGCCGCGAGAGGCCAAGAACTACCCACACACTAGGACCAGGCGCCGTCGCGGGCACAGCGCACGCGCGAGGTCACTACCCCGCCTTCGGGCACCTTGAGTACCTCAGTCTCCGGGAGCTGGCGTCTGCGCTGCGCGCGCGCGCTCAGCCCCAAGCCGCCCCTCCACCTCCCGCTTTCCGCTCCAAACCGCCTATGTCCGCGAGACTCTCTCTGATGCTCCGCCCCTTTCCCGATCAGGCTTCCCGGACTTTTTCGCGCATGCGTGTTGCGTAGAGCAATGTAACGTACCTCTCCGCCGCCTGGCAAAGAGTCCCTAAGTGAATAGCCTGATTGCGTTGATGTCTAATCTATTCAATCAACAACTGCTCATCGAGCATCTATGTGCTAAGCACTGTCTGGGCTTTGGGGGCTACGGCACGTGACTAAAGCAAAGTCTTCTGCTTGGGCTTACATTGTACTGAGGAGAGACAATAAAAGCGTTTAACTGAATAAAGATAATTCGAGGGCCCGGCTCGGTGGCTCACCCCTGTAATCCCATCACTTTGGGAGGCCGAGGCAGGCGTATCACCTGAGATCAATAGTTCGAGACCAGCCTGGCCGACATGGTGAAACCCTGTCTCTACAAAAAAATACAAAAATTAGCCGGGAATTGCCGGGCGCGGTGGCTCAAGCCTGTAATCCCAGCACTTTGGGAGGCCGAGGCGGGTGGATCACGAGGTCAAGAGATCGAGACCATCCTGGTCAACATGGTGAAACCCCGTCTCCACTAAAAATACAAAAAATTAGCTGGGCATGGTGGCACGTGCCTGTAATCCCAGCTACTCAGGAGGCTGAGGCAGGAGAATTGCCTGAACCCAGGAGGCGGAGGTTGCGGTGAGCCGAGATCGCGCCATTGCACTCCAGCCTGGGTAACAAGAGCGAAACTCCGTCTCAAAAAAAAAAAAAAAAAATTAGCCGGGAATGGTGGTGTGAGCCTGTAACCTCAGCTTGGATGCTGAGGCAGAAGAATCGCTTGCACCCAGGAGCCGGAGGTTGCAGTGAGCAGAGATCACCACCATTGCACTCCAGCCTGGGTGACAGGAGCGACACTCTATCTTAAAATAATAATAATAATTTGAGATGGTGACTAGCATAATAAAGAAGGACGGAGCAGAGTAAAGGGATGGGAAGTGAGAGTGAGGCTATTTTATAAAGGGGGATAATGGAAGGCTCCTCTGAAGTATCATTTGAACAAAGGCCAGATGGAAGCAAGATCTGGGAGGCGGGGAGGGTTAACAGCAGGTGCAAAGGTCCTGAACTGGGACCAGATGGCAGGAATCTCAGGTTGTTGGCCGTGAGATCAGAGAGCTGGCATTTATTTTATTTAAGACCCTGTTGTTAAGTATTACATTTTAAGTTTTGTGGATGGATTCAATAGCCTGTTTAATAACTACAGAAATTATTGCAAATTTCAAATGACTAATTTTCAAGAAAAAGGCCAGCTACTCAGGAGGCTGAGGCAGGAGAATCACTTGAACCTAGGAGGCAGAGATTGCAGTGAGCTGAGATCGTGCCATTGCACTCCAGCCTGGGCGACAAATCGAGACTCAGTCTCAAAAAAGAAAAAGAAAAATGCCAAGTGCATTGGCTCGTGCCTGTAATCCTAACACTTTGGGAGGCCAAGGTGGGCAGATCATGAGGTCAGGAATTCAAGACCAGACTGGCCAACATGGTGAAACCCTGTCTCTACTAAAAAATACAAAAATTAGCTGGGCATGGTGGCTCGTACCTGTAATCCCAGCTACTTGGGAGGCTGAGGTAGGAGAATTGCTTGAACCAGGACCCAGGAGACGGAGGTTGCAGTGAGTTATGATCACACCACTGAACTCCAGCTTGGGCTACAGAGCAAGACTCTATCTCAAAAAAAAAAAAAAGCCCTTCCTTCTCTTCCACATTGCCAGTTTGTGACTTTTCCAAACTTTTCTGCTGTGCTGCTTCCTATTTATGTATGTATTTATTTTCCAGAGACAGGGTTTCACTGTGTCACCCAGCATTTCACTTCGTCACCTAGGCGGTGTACAGTGGCTATTCACTGCCATGCCCCCACTCCTGATCAACATGGGAGCTTTGACCTACTCCACTTCCAGCCTTAGGCTAGTTCACCCCTTGCCAGGCAACCTGGTAGTCTCCCGCTCCTGGGAGGTTACCATATTGAAGCCAAACTTAGTATGGACACCCAGTTGTTGGGGGGAACGGCAATGGAGGGAGGGCTCACAGAGTGCCTCCATAAAATGGCTGCAAGTGCTGGGAACAGTAAACCGCAGCAAACTGCCAGGCCTCTGGGGAGGCAAACTTCCCCAAGCCTTCTTGTTCCAGGGGCAGAGTGACCTTGACTCTGTAACAGTACATAACGTGCTCAAGGACTTTAAACACCTTTTGTAGCATTACAAAGTAGCCAGACTTGTAGGCCCACCAGCTACATTGTCTATTGCTAAGCATACTCTTTTAGCTTTTGAGAAACTCACATGAACCGCCACTGTTAACAATTTTATGTTTGATGCACAGCCTTCTTTCACCGATTCACCCTGCCACCTGCACTACAGATAATAGTCATTATGTTCAGTAAATATTGTGGAAACCAGAGATCGGGGCCTTCACTGCCTCCAGTAAAGAAGTGATGATCCCCTGCTCCTGCTTTCTCTCCTAATCTGTCTTTTTCTAATTCCTTTGTTGCCACTGAACTCGGGGTACCCACGGGTGGGGTGTGGGGCTGGCTCCCTACACCAGTCAGCATAACACACTACAGCCCAGAACTCCTGTGCTCAAACAATCCTCCCTCCTCAGCCTCCAAGTAGGTAGGACTACAGGCACATGCCACATGCCACAGAGCCTGACTGCTTCCACCCCCCCCCTTTTTTTTTTTTTTTTTGAGACAGTCTTGCTTTGTCACCCAGGCTGGAGTGCACTGGTGTGATCTCGACACATTGTAACCTCCACCTCCTGGGTTCAATCAATTCTTCTGCCTCAGCCTCCCGTGTAGCTGGGACTATAGGCACATGCCACTACTCCGGGCTAATTTTTATATTTTTAGTACAGACAGGGTTTCAGCGTGTTGGCCAGGATGGTCTCAAACTCCTGACTTCATGATCCGCCCACATCAGCCTTCCAAAGTGCCGAGATTACAGGCATGAGCCACTGTGCCGGCCCTTTTTTTAAATCTTTTTTGAGACAAAGTCTCACTATGTCACCCAGGCTGGAGCACAGTGTCACGATCTCAGCTCACTGCAACCTCCATCTACTGGGTTCAAGCGATTTTCCTGCCTCAGCCTCCCAAGTAGCTGGGATGACAGGCACCCGCCACCATTCCTGGCTAATTTTTGCATTTTTAGTAGAGACAGAGTTTCACCATGTTGGCCAGGCTGATCTTGAACTCCTGACCTCAAGTGATCCACCTGCCTCGGTCTCCCAAAGTGCTGGGATGACAGGTGTGAGCCACCACATCCAGCTGAGCCACCATGCCTGGCACCCTTTTAATCATAAATTCCAACTTGAAGTCATGTCTTTACTCCTGTATCTGCTCATAGGCTGTTAGAAGCTGCCACATCACTACTTGAACACTTTGAAGCTTAGAGACCCTAGGTCATCATTCTTAGTTCAACCTTCCACAAATCCCTAGAGTGTGGATACAATGTCGCCGGGCTGTTTGCTAGATTGTAGCACCGGTGACCTGTACTCCAGTTCCCAGCAAGTCCTCATTTCCACCAGGGGCTTCATCAGCCTGGATTTCACTCTGCACATTGCCATCAGCATTTTGATCACAACCATTTCACCAATCTAAGAAGTTCCAAAATTTCCCTCATGTTCTTTTTTTTTTTTTTTTTTTGAGACGGAGTTTCACTCATGTTACCCAGGCTGGTGTGCAATGGCGCGATCTCGGCTCACCGCAACCTCCGCCTCCTGGGTTCAGGCAATTCTCCTGCCTCAGCCTCCTGAGTAGCTGGGATTACAGGCACGCGCCACCATGCCCAGCTAATTTTTTGTAGTTTTAGTAGAGACGGGGTTTCACCGTGTTGACCAGGATGGTCTCGATCTCTTGACCTCGTGATCCACCCGCCTCGGCCTCCCAAAGTGCTGGGATTACAGGCTTGAGCCACCGCGCCCGGCGATTATTGCTAATTGAAAACTTTTCCCGATACCCCACCATGATGGCTTGCAATATAGTCGGCATTGGCAATTTTTGACAGTCTCTACGAAGACTGAATATAACAAAAGAAGAAAGGAAGGAATGACTGAAACAGGGCAATTTATAAGGAAAAGACATGGGCCGGGTGCAGTGGCTGATGCCTGTAATCCCAGCACTTTGGAAGGCAGAGGCGGGCAGATCACTTGAGGCCAGGAGTTCAAGACCAGCCTGGCCAACATGGTGAAACCCCGTCTCTACTAAAATAGCTGGGTGTGGTGGTGAGTGCCTGTAATCCCAGCTACTCAGGAGGCTGAGGCAGGAGAGTCACTTGTACCCGGGATGCAGAGGTTGCAGTGACCTGAGATCGCACCATTGCACTCCGGCCTGGGAAACAAGAGTGAAACTCCATCTCAAAATAAAATTTAAAAAAAGGTTTAAATTAGCTGGGTGTGGTGACTCACAGCTATAGTCCCAGCTACTTGGGAGTCTGGGGTGGGAGGATCTGTTTGAGCCTGGGAGGTCAAGGCTACAGTGAGCTGCGATTGTGTCACTGCACTCCAGCCTGGGTGACAGTGTGAGAATTTGTCTCAAGAAAAAAATGTTAACATCACCAGTGATATGGCATATGGACATCACACACCCCCAGGATGATGTAATGAGAGCAGCAATGCCGCTCTGTGGCATTCTCTCTACCTCCACCCCACAAAACTATAACCTCAATCTAAACAAGACAGAAGATCAGAGGAACGCAAATGGAGAGACAGTCTACAAAACAACTGACTAGTAATCTTTAAGTTTCCAGATCATGAAAGACAAGGAAAAA